GCCAAAGAGCCGGAAATACCCACAACAACCAAAATATTAAAAGCTAGAAACAGTAAATTGTTCAATTACTAAAGAAGAATAAAGAATGTATGTGTCCATCACAATGGAACCCTGATTTATCAACCAATGGTTGAACAGAAAGGGCGGAATCAAGGAAATATAAGAGGAATGGAAGACAGTTAAAGATCAGTTAGGACTATGAGTTAGAGTCAGGGAATTCAGTTAGGGATTTCAGTTAAGGATATCAGTTTGATAGAAGCAGTTTAGGCAGCTAGGACCAGTATTGTGTTAGAGAGGAATAGAGAGATAAAGAACAAAATAAGAAATGAATAAATACCTTGATTAACATGATTCTTCACAAGCAAATATAAATGTTATCAAAGCACAGTTTATTGAATGAATAAAATAAGACCATCCATGATTTACTTTATATAATTTACTTATAAACACTTAAATAAACTTTGTTTTATTGAATAACACTGATTTAAGAGTCATATTTAATAGAGTGAGGAATAAATCCTCTGGTGGCAGTGAAAAGGGTTGAAAAGTAAATGTCATACCCAAAAGTGAACCTGGGTTGTGTGGAAGAACAAATAGGGGAACTAGGGGTGTGTGACATAACGTGGTGGCAGCGGTGAGAGCCGAAAGAAATCCAGTGAGCCAGACTAAAGTGAAATTTATTTGGCTGGCCACGAATGAAAAAGAAATCCAATGAGTCAAAATTAAAGAGAAGTTTTCTGAGTCTGAGATTCAAAGAGAAGGAATACCAGAAACCAAAAGTAAAGGAAAATCTCTGAGTCTAGGAGACTTGTTTGAATAGTAAATAGTCAAGGTGAAGGAGTAGGCCCTAGGGCTGAAGGGATAGCTTGGAAGGGACTCCAAATCACTAGGACTTATTAATAAGAAAAACAAGTAAAAGACTCTAAAGAGATTTCTAAAGAGTTTACCTCAAGCTGAGAGAGAAAGGACAAGAAAACATCTAGCTTTAAAATCCCAAAGCTCTGAGGAAAGGGAGCACTGAAGGGAAATAAAGTGGATGCCTAAGTCCAGAGAAATAGCTGAGGAAAGGCTTATCAGAAAAGAAATATTGCTTGGAAAATCTGGGTGTCTGTAGACCAAGAGATACAAAGTAAAAGACACAAAAGGAACAGCGAGGCTTGAAGCTCAAAGACACAAAGTAGAGGTCTTAAGCCGCCAAAAGAAAGCTACTTAGTTTAAATCTACCGTATTTTTCGCTCTATAAGACGCACTCCCCACCAAAAAAAGTGTGGGGGGGAGTCTGTGTGTCTTGTGGAGCGAAGCTGGTGATTTCACCCCCACTGGCCCCGTGGGGTGGGGTGAGCGTACCAAGGGTCTGAGTGTGCCTTCCAGGCCCCTTGGGAGGCTTCCCCCACGGGGCCAGCGAGGGAGAAATCGCCACCTTCAGGGACTCCTCTGAATCATTCCCAAGCCTCAAAAAAGTCCCAGAAAGTGGCTATTTTGCCCCCTCTGGCACTTAAGACCTAAAGAAATTCCCTCAATTTAAAAAGGGAGATTGCCCTGAATCTTTTCTAATTTC